GACCTTAAAGCTCATCCAGTTCCAACCCCCCTGCCAGCAGCAGGGACACCTTCCACTAGACCAGGTTGCTCAAAGCCTCATCCAACCTGGCCACAAACACTTCCAGGGAGGAGCATCCACAGCTTCTCTGGGCAACCTGGGCCAGTGTCTCACCACCCTCACAGCAAAGAATTTCTTCCTCACATCTCACCTCAATCTCCCCTCTGCCAGTTTAAAGCCATCACCCCTTGTTCTGTCACTGCCTGCCCTTGGCCAAAGTCCCTCCCCAGCCTTCCTGGAGCACCTTCAGGTACTGGGAGGCCGCTAGAAGGTCTCCCTGGAGCCTTGTCTTCTCCAGGTTGAACAGCCCCACCTCCCTCTCACTTGACCCTCTGTGCCGTGTTTTCTCAGCACACTTGCACCCAGATTTTCTGTGCCGTTGTCTCTCGCAGCGTGTGTGTTGCAAACCCCTCCTGTAGAGGTAACTCTTACACATATCCAGACAGTGACAGCAAACGTGCCACCAGTTTAACCGACGGAGTTCAAGGCACTGAAGCGCCGATTCCCCTCACACTCTTGCAACGTACCAGTAAACTACATTTCACTGGAACAAGGTGAGATTACATTTTCATTTTAAGTGCAAAGACCAAGGACTGAGGTTACACCACCAGCGACATAAATTACTGGATATTAATAAAAGTGTGACTATTCAGATTCAAATGGAAATCAGCAACCCGGGAATTTTAATAACTTTTCTTTTTTCACACATCTTAGAAAAGTGTTTCTAGTCGAATCATGAGCAGCTGGCGCTGGAAACGCAAAGCTTCAGCCAGTTCCAAACTCTGTGCCTGGCTGATGAACTTTGAAAATATCAGCTCCCCTTTGGCCAAGAGCCAGAAACTTGGCTTCCTCAGCCAAAAAGGCTGTCTTGCAGGGCTGGAAAATGGCAATGCACGTGCAGATGAGGACCTGGACTCCCTTCCTACAGCCCCACTTCCATTACATGCCCTTCTCCTAATGCAGAGCAGAAGATGCAAGGGCAGCAGTGGAAGTGATCCCTCCACAACCCAGGTTGCACCCTTGGGATTCATAGAATCACAGACTGGTTTGGGTTGGAAGGGAACTTTCAAGGGCATCTAGTCCAACCCCCTGCAGTGAGCAGGGACATCTTCAACCACATCAGGTTGCTCACAGCCCCGTCCAACCTGACCTTGAATGTTTCCAGGGATGGGGCTTCTACCACCTCTCTGGGCAACCTGGGCCAGGGTTTCACCACCCTCAGTGTGAAAAAAATTCTTCCTTATATCCAGTCTAAATCTCCCCTCTTTCAGTTTAAAACTGCTTCCTCTTGTCCTATCACTACAGGCCCTGCTAGAATGTCTGTCTCCATCTTTCTTATAGGCCCCCTTCAAGTATTGAAAGTCTCACTGGAGTTTCCTCTTCTCCAGGCTGAACAGCCCCAACTCTCTCAGCCTGTCCTCACAGCAGAGCTGTTCCATCCCTCTGATCATTTTTGTGGCCCTAGAGAGCCACAAAGGACTAGAGAGCATCGTGTCAGGGCCTCCTCTCCTCGTGGTCCATGGCAGAAAGGGAGCGAGGCATGGAGAACCTCCAAGATCCACTCCTTGCAGTTACCCACAGCTGCAGCCTGAAACACTCCCTCCTGGCTGAGCAACAAAAGAGACTCTCCAGGTCAGAGGATGAAGAGTTGCCAGGTGGCAAAGAGTCTCCCCACTGGAAAAGCAGTTTTGTGCTGGAGGAGGATGAGAAGGAAGAGAGAGCTTTCTTCCTAGTAAAAGTCTAATAAAGAACAAGGCCAAGCACAGCAGAGAAGGAAAAGATGGTCCAGGCCCCCACAGACACAACAGGGGTGAGCAGACCATGGTCTACCTTCTCCTTGAATTTCATTTAAAGGCAATGACTGAATCATGATGTGAGTCTCTCAGTCGTTCCATTTATCTTGTATGCTTTTGGCACATGTGGAAACAAAGCTGGAAATCCCAAGACCAAATGTGTTCCTACACTGATGGGAACAATCCTCCTGCAAACACTTGTTAGGCCAATTCAACCTAAGCCCTTCCCCATACAGTCGTACAGACACAGCACCCTGCTTCGCCAGTTGAGGAATAAGGTCAGCAGAGGCTTCTACTTGCCTGATGCTCTCGAGTATTACAATCCCAAGCAGCAGGAAATTAAGGAAGAGATGTGCTTAAAAGAGAATGTTAATTATAAAACAAACTAATTTGTGGTTCTTGTCCTTTATGTTGTGTTTTCAGGATCTTTCAGCTACGCTTGCCCACATGACCTCCTGGTTCCTAAAGTCTGTATTTTAAGAAAAGCCAAATATCAAAAAACTTTGAAGCACACCTCTGAGAGCAGGCAGCATTTCATGTTTCTGATCTTTCTGGTACGTACCAACACCTAGGGGAGTATTTGCAAAACCTCGAGATGATCATCAACAGCCCTTCAGGGCTTTTCTAGCTATCAGGCTGCGGTTACTTTCTTCCTTCAGACTTGGCTT